TTCCAGTAGGATGTTGTATGTTCTTTTTTTGATCCAAATTTTCACGTTTAAAAAATCACCTCCCTGAGTCATAAACTTGAACATCAGATAATTTATTTTTTTATATTTTCTCCAACCTGTTTTCAGAAATGTGCAATTGTATCTTCACTGCTAAGTTTATCCAGTTATTGTGCTAGTGACTCTGTCATCCTTCGCACCTTCTACTTACTTAGCACTAATAAATTTTTGGTAGCTATAGCGTTATATTTATATGGCATGGCATATATGTTAAAGAAGTCTAGATACTGCCTATTAAATTGATCAAGGAGACCAAACAGAGCATTTCTCTTGCATAATTGACCTAACTAATATAACAATAATAATAATAATAGTAGCAACAACCATTGATTGAGTACAAAGTACGAGGCGGGTACCATTACTTAATCCTCACAATCATCTTATAAGAAAATAGTTGTAAAGGTTTCACAGGATCAGATAATTGAAAGGGTATATAAGACTCCGCAGAAAAATGCTTACAAAAAGCTTTTAGTAAAGATACAGTACAGCAGGCGAAAGAGAATGCCGGCGAGCACCGAGGATCCATTCCCAAGTGCAGCTCTCCAGGTTCTTTTTTTTAACATCTTTATTGGAGTATAATTGGTTTACATTGTTAGTTGCTGCTGTATAACAAAGCGAATCAGCTATACATATACATATATCCCCATATCTCCTCCCTCTTGCGTCTCCCTCCCACCCCCACATCCCACCACTCTAGGTGGACACAAAGCACCGAGCTGATCTCCCTGTGCTATGCGGCTGCTTCCCACTAGCTATCTGTTTTACATTTAGTAGTATATATATGTCCGTGCCACTCTCTCTCTTCGTCCCATCTTACCCTTCCCCCTCCCCGTGTCCTTAAATCCATTCTCTACATCTGCGTCTTTATTCCTGTCCTGCCCCTAGGTTCTTCAGAACCATTTTTGTTTTTTTAGATTCCATATATATCCAGTCTCTTTCCTAATCAAATAGGATGTGGCTGTCCCCAGAGTATAAATCACCGAGATTTGTATAAGCAATCTTGGTTTCAGGAGAGCTCCCCAGAAGTTTACAGTGAAGCTTTTTATGCCCCTCTGGTCACATAGCTAAGCCAGGCTGTCCAAGTAGCCCAGGTGTAAGCTATCAATAAACAACTAGACCTGGTTGCTACCAGGGGAGTTTCAAATTGTAAACAGCAAATTATAAGTCATTAGTTATCCCAGTTGACCTTATCTTGGCTAAGAGTCAGTACCAGAGTTCCAGGCATCCCCAGAGATAAGTGTAGGGCTGGCCCAGTCTAGCTGTAAATTAACTCTGTCTTACATAATAGTATAACAATCTTTCTTAGACTTAGAAAACTGAGATTCAAAAATAATTGGTCCCAGATCACATAGATATTAAGAGGCAAAGCTAAGATTCAAGTTCAGGTCTGTATAACTTCAAAACCCATGGTCCTAATTATTACAAAACAGTGCATAGTTCTAAAATAATTCTCTCTCAGAACAGATGACCTAAGACTATTATCCAGCATTAAAAATTTAGTTTTTCAACAAAAGCAAAGTACTGAATCAAGATAAAAATTATTACTATCAGTTTTTTTTAATATTTATTTGTTTATTTATTTGGTTGTGTCGGGTCTTGGTTGCAGCAGGCAGGCTCCTTGTGGCTCACGGGCTCCTTAGTTGTGGCTCGAGTGCTCCTTAGTTGCAGCACGTGGGCTCCTTAGTTGTGGCAGGTGGGCTCCTTAGTTGAGACATGCCTGTGGGATCTAATTCCTGGATCAGGGATCAAACCCAGGCCCCCTACATTGGGAGCGTGGAATCTTAATGACAGTGCCACCAAGGAAGTCCCTACTATCAGTTTTTAATTATTATAGATGACAAGCAAATGTGCTTGTACCCATGTACACTTAAAATGGGTGCATTTTATGATATGTAAATTGTACCTCAATAAAACTTTTAAATATATGGAGCTAATTTTATTCACAATGAGCCTGTTTATAAGCCTGTAATTCCTACTTCCTCACACTATCTTCCTGGTCTATATGGTAATATAAACAGAAATGCCATGTAAGCATGTAAGCAGTTCTTTATACTGAGGTAGCAATTTATTTTTCTATATCAAGGAAGGAAAATGGAGAAATTCTCAGAAAAATCTCCTTAATTACTTACAACTCAGTATTTCCCACTATTCTTTGTTCCACCTGGGAATGACTACGTCTAGAGAATTAAAATGGAGATAGAATAGGTCTAGTGGAAAACAAATATGTATATTTTTCAATGAGAGACCATGTCTTACTCTTCAACTCCACTCATAGAAACTTTGTACATAGGGGTGCTTAATTTATGTAGGCCAATATCTGACATATAGACTGCTTGGGCTTTAGACTTTTGAAACTTGTAGTAGCCACATGAATCAAAATATCATTGCATTCTCTGGTGCTTCATTCACCTTGGTGACTTTAAGTTATATGATAAGTTCTCACTATAGAGGAATGGTTGAGCATCCATAAAATTGACTAATATGCAGACATTAGCATGTTGTTATTAAAAATAGCATTTCAGGGCTTCCCTGGTGGCACAGTGGTTGAGAGTCCGCCTGCTGATGCAGGGGACACGGGTTCGTGCCCTGGTCTGGGAAGATCCCACATGCCACGGAGCGGCTGGGCCCGTGAGCCATGGTCACTGAGCCTGTGCGTCCGGAGCCTGTGCTCCGCAGCGGGAGAGGCCACAGCAGTGAGAGGCCCTCGTACCGCAAGAAAAAAATATACATATAGCATTTCATTTTGTGATTCTTCATTTTTTCTGTGTGTGGCCTCTTTTGCCACAGGATTGTCCTTTTTCTGGGATTAAGGATTTAGGACCTACCTTGTTCACCACTGTAGTCTGACACATACTAGTTGCTCAATAAAATTTTATTGGCTAGATAAGTGAATGAAATAAACTAAAAGTCACCATATTCTGTGAAAAGCATCAATGAAGCAAAAATGTACAAAATTCCTAAATGGGAATGGTTAACCAGAGGATTTTACTTCTGGTATTTTATGTGAGTTTTCTGTTTTCACTCTTTCTGTGCCCCAATGGTTCTGGACCATTGAGCATACAATAAAACTAATTTATTCATCCTCTCAACAAATATACTGTGTGCCAGGGACTAGATACATTTCTCTCTAGTGAAAAAGGGCAAGGGATACTTTGGGTTTGAAAAACAAGTGAACTATGTAATAACAGGTTTGGTTCATGCAGATAGTACAGTTGTAGTGCAAAATGACATCACTGCTCTTCTCACACTGGGAAACTGGATGTCTTCCTTGTCTTTACTTTTAAATACCATGACCATAGAAGCCCTTCCTTATTATAAACTTTATCATTTAAATGATAAAATAGGGTCCACTGAATAATTCTTTGTACCATGAATTAATTCAAAGTTTCTCAAATCTTTTCACCACCAATGAGGACTTTCATAATTTTTATTGATAGACCCTGTATTTTTGAAAAATTTTTCAGCATCACTCTATTCATTATCCAATAGTTTCTATCTCATTTTTTATTTATCAAATGTATATATACGTATTATATATATATGTGTATGATATGTATACATATATATATCTGCCAAAATTTCTGTTCAACATGAGATAACTAATGTTATCACCCTTGATATAATTGCAGCTAAGTTTATAGAAGCTTGATGTTTTAGGTAACTAGTCAACATATTATTACTTATAAATTATTTGAAAACATATTATTACTTACAAATTATTTGAAATATTGAAAATAGTGAAACCCATTACTACCTTCTCAGACCTTTAAAGGTGTCGTGTTCCAGTGTTCGGAGCCTACTGAATGTGCTCAGGGTTTATCTGGAGAAAAGGGGTATATTTCTGGAATATATACCAGGGTAAGACCACACAGATACAAGTGAATCTTAGCCAGCTCTGATTTGGGACCTAAGGATAAAAACTTCTGCTGGGACACACCACCGAAAAAAAAACATGAAAGGCAAAGGGTTAACTAACAGACACTTTACATGTAGACAAGTCCTCCGGGAAATAGAAGTTTTACATTCTCCAGCTTTCATTATACTGACCCTAGCAGCTGTGTGAACTCCAAGCTTCTAGCTAAGAATTAAAAGCCAGCTGAATCACCACATCTTTACACCAAATGAAATTATACTTCAGTCAAATTTTACAGAAAGAAAAATGTTTAAATATATTTTAAAGTAATAAGACAATTTCCAGAAATTAGGAAAAGAAGCATGCATCTGTTTAAAAAGAACGCACGCAGACACATACACACATAATATAAATTTACACCTATATATTATCACTGAACATATTTAGAAATTATACAGTATGCTATAGAACCCATAAAATCTCATTGGGGAAGGTGTAACATTGTGTTTGGTGGCAAAAAGGTTAGGATCTGTTGGGCTATTTATGACTGAAAGATAAAAATATGAAATGAATTTCTAATTAAAAATAGAGGCCTTGTAGTGTCCTTACTTAGACTCTTTCTCCTATATTAGCGTCTACTTTAGGGAATGTTTCTATATTCTCTAATTCTTTGTTTCATATAAAGGGCCAGGAAGGAAAAATATAGGGTAAAAAGAGTATAAAGATCTTTTTGACACCTCTAGGGCTCTCCAGCAATCCATGGAAAGTATGTAAATTCCCTTTTGATGAAATTCTACAGTTTTTACCATTGATAGGCCCTATTTGTAGGCCCTTTAGCACTGATATATGAATTTGTTTAATTCATTCAAATAGAGTTGTTAAAAGTAAATCTTTGAGAGAGAACCTGTGTGAGAGAGTTACATTTTGGTTTCAATTGTTTAAACTTCATGATGGAGCTGAAATCATCAGTAACTTGTTAAAAATAATGTTTCTGATATTGTCATTATCTAGTCATGTATTTGGAGAGTAGTAAACAGATTAACCTCTAGGTTTGGTTTTCTTTTTTAATTCACTTTACTCTTTTCTTCAGCTACCTTGACAAGCTATTCTGAAAACATGGAACGCACAAAATACGTTGGGGAAAGCAGTAAAGAATTAGGATCTGGAGGAAACGTAAAGCCTTGGCAGTCTCAAAAATCCAGCATGGATTCCTGTTTATATCGAGTAGATGAAAACATGACGGCTTCCACCTATAGTCTGAATAAGATCCCAGAGAGGAATTTGGAAACAGTTTTATCACAGTCAGTACAGTCTATTCCTCTTTATCTTATGCCACGGCCAAATTCAGTAGCAGGTAAGTTTTATTTGTTTTAAATCACCATTTTACTGGCATATATATTGAAATGAAGATAAATTCTGCTCTCACAGTATTTAAATTTTCCATTCATCTTCTTCAACTAAGCTATTGCTTTATGTTTGGGTAATATACACGTGTATATCTTTTTGAACCTGGGGGAAGGTTTGTGTTCCTTAAGTGATTGTTTAGTTCTGCTTCCAAAATATAAATATAAAATAGGGACTTCCCTTGCAGTCCAGTGGTTAAGACTTCACTTACCAAAGCAGGGGCTGCGGGTTTGATCCCTGCTCAGGGCTAAGATCCCACATGCCTCTGGCCAAAATACCAAAACATAGAACAGAAGCAATGTTGTAACAAATTCAATAAAGGCTTTAAAAAAAAAAAAGGTCCACATCAAAAAAAAATCTTAAAAGAAAACCAAAATATAAATATAAAATAAAAACACATAATATCAAAAAGAGAACCTATAAAGTATATTGTCAAGCTGTTAAAAGTCTTTTCTCACATCAGAAGTCTTTCAAAGGATTTCACTTTGAGATTTTAGGTTTTAAAAACTTTAGCTTTAAAAAACATTATTTGAGAATTCCCTGGCGGGCCAGTGGTTAGGATTCTGAGCTTTCACTGCCAAGGGCCTGGGTTCGACCCCTGGTCAGGGAACTAAGATCCCACAAGCTGCACTGTGCAGCCAAAATAAAAAATAAAAAACATTATTAAATTGAAGTATATTTCAGTAGAATTTATATTACCAGAAACATCACCTATAGTTTGAGAGAGTGACAAGCAGGCAAGAATTCAACTTCCCCATTCGAAGAGCTCAGTATTTTCACAGTACACTGGCTATCTTACCATAGTAGAATCATCAGGTACCTACATTGCTAAAGAATAACTCAAACACCACTAGCAGTCTCAGTCATAAGGGGATGATACAGATAATAAGTGGCTGGAATATGGAGCCATTATTCTTTAGCAGCTGTTCAGAACTACGTCAAGGGATATTTTTAATACAGCTAAGTTGCTGTTTAATAATTCAGACCAGGACTTTTGCAGAACAGTTGGGCATTCTGACATTTTCAAAATGCATCATCATCTGGACTTTGTCCATGCTACAAAATCAAAGTTATGTTTGTCTTTCTTACTTGCCTGATGAGTGTCAGGATGGGTTTATCTTACTGATACAAGATAATAAAATACTTATTATAGTCAAGAGCTCTTTCCAGATGTAATTATTTATGTTACGCAGATGATGGTGTGATGCTTCTTACCTTTCCCATCTCCCTTCTGTACCTTTTCTAAACCATTACTCTTTGTTCCGTCCTCTGGAGACCATCAGCATCTGTCATCAGATGTGATTACGAGGAGCATGGCTCATCTGGAAGATCAGTAACTGCAGAAGATTTTAATATTAATTTTTCAAGATTATTCACTTTTATATAATGACAGAAAATTTTCTCTCCTGGGTTCTTTTAAATATGATGATCCCCAACCATGACATCATTTTTAGAATCCTAGAATGCTATAACTTATGAGAAATTGCTAGGCAAATTCAGTCTATCCAAAAGAGAAGCATTTAAATCCTTGCTTACATAAAAATGGAAAATATAGCTACCAATCTTAATGGTACATCCCAATTTACTTCTTAACTAAGCTGCAATGATTTCTAAGAGAATTCTGGCTCTGTTATTTGAGAAGAACACTGAGCACTTAGTAGGAAACATAGGTATAAGCTTCTTTTGTTCTTTTTTTAGTTCACTGAAGAGATTATAAAATACTTTTCCCTTATTGAGCATAAGTGTCTGTAAAGATTCATTATTTTACCCTATGCAAAAACTAACTATAGGTTTTACAAAAAGTTGTACAGGACTAATTAGATAGATATGATTCATCCCTCACTGTCTCTAAAGGTTTCTAACACTGTTGCTTTCCAGAAATTGGCATAAGGCAGCTGTCAGAAGCATCAATAAGTTATCAGACATTTCTCTAACTAATAGATATTGAAGAAATTGACTGTATAGAACCCAGGTTTCTATACCAGGTATTTTAATCACCGGGTAAAAATATAATTTGAAATATGTTTTTAAAAAAACTTTAAAAAGCAAGCAGTATTTTATCAGGTGAAGAGTACATTCTTCCATTATATGGATTGTAAGATTTTTGTCTATTTAGAATTTTATCTTGTAAGCACTGTTATTCTAGTTACTTAATAAAATCTTTTAAATTGTGGTCAACTTTTAGGGAATTATCATTCAATTTGTGAATTTTTCAGACTTCTTAACTACCTCTCATGGTATATTTTTTGCAAACTGCCATTTAGCAACTTTACTGTTTGTGGTCGTCAACATACTTGTGGCTACAATTGTACTTCAGTAACTTTGCATATCCACTGGAACAGTGACTGAAGCAAATATTAAGATTTTTTTGGATAATTACAGGAGGGAATTCTAATTGACATCCATTGTTGTTTTGGTAACCTACTTGGCTACAGTGTGATAAATGCTATAATACAGTAATTTATAAAGTACCATAGGAACACAGAGAAGGAAGCATCTAAGTGCAAAGGGGAGAGTAGGGTAGAGAAGAACAGAAAACATCACAGAGAAGGACAAATAAGAATTCACTAGAAGGACTAAGAGAAGAAAGAGGAAGGAGGCACCAAGAAGTTAAAGAACTCGGCATATAATTGATATTTCTGCATGACTAGGACCTGGGGTATATGGAAGGAGTGGTAGAAAATGATGTTGAAAGGGATGCCAAAGACCTTACGCACTCTGATGTTATGTTGGGTTTACTTTGTTGATAGTGAGTTTAAACAGGAGCCATATTATCACATTTGCACTTCAAAAGAATGACTGTATGTATCCATCCCTTATAAGATAGACTGAAGGGCAAAAGCCTGGAGTTAGAGAAAATAGTTAAAAGCTTCTGGTATTGTGCAAAATTATAGTGAATTGAATTGCCAGGTTATATCAATAGAGTTGAGAGAGTGGCTTGAGAGATCTTTTTTACCTTAAAAAATAACATTTATTAGATTTTTTAATACAGAGACATATAAAGAAGAAAACAAAACAAGAAATGAGCTATAATCTCCTTGCCCAGTGGTTCCTGCTG